GGAGGCAACCAATTGATGTGTCTCTCTCACACTGATTTTTCTCTCTTTCTCCCCCCCCCCTTCTCCCTTCCACTCTCTCTGAAGGGCAATGGGAAAAATATTCCTGGGTCAGGATTAAAAAAAAACAAAGGGAAGTAGAGTCAGAAGGAGCTGACAGTGAGAGCCATGCCTGTTCATTAAGGGGTATCTAAACCGTAAGCAGAGCACCCACACTTTGGGCATTACACGACACCCCTGGCCCAAGGGTGGGATGTCACCTGGTCTCCCCTCCCTCTCTCTTCCCGATCACTCACTGCCTGTCTTTTGTAGGAAAAGGCTGACTGGCAGCACTTGCTTTGTCATCATAACCGGCCACTGGTTAATTATTATTGATAATCTTTCTTCACTTTGCAGCTGCTTTAGTCTACCTTTAAACATTCAGCACTCCTGACAACTCCACATGAGGGGCAGGGCCGAAGTTCCTCTTTCCAGTTTTATATGCGATACAGTTGGAGGGAGCAATAACACCTTCCTCCAAAGGCACAGCATTGCTGTCCCCCGGTGTGACGTTCTCTCAGCCACAGGTGCCACCTGAGAACACGGGACACAGCATAAAACAGTGTCTTACACCAAAGCTGGCCCAAAGCCCCTGGGCTCTTTGGTCCCTGGGACTCAGTGGCTGACAGTCTTGCTTTCAGTTTTTTCTCTGAAATGAGATGCTGCCCATCTCCCCAGTGTGCACTGACACCCCGTGGACTGGCCGCGGGGGCCAGACAGTGAGACCGGGGGGAAGCTGGGCCGCTCACCCAGGCCCTCTCCCAAATGCAGCCAGGACAGCAGGCCATGGGGGGCTTGTGGAAGTTTTCTCTCCCTTCCTCTTCCTTTTTCCAAAATTTGCCATCTGACTGTTAAGCAAACTGCTCCCAATTTTCCGTGGTGTCTCCTGAACACAGCACTTTTTGAAAACACACAAAGCGTTGGCTGGACTGCGCCCCAAACGGTGTGTGCTGCGCAGAGAGAGCCCCCTTATTTGGCCTCCCTTTCATCTGTGTTTTCTAAAGAGTGCTCTGTTAAGAGAAAGTGTGTCTGGAAGTGCGGTCTGTAGTCAGATGTTAACCAGACGCTCCTGGAATAATCCCTTGTAATTGCCCCGTTGTGTGCTTCCTTTTTGGGTTTTAAAAGATGTACATTCAGGCCTACAAGACTAGTAACCTACGCATGAAGATCATCAAGAATGACTTCCCCAGCCGCCCTCTGTACCTGGAGGGGGCGCTGACCAGGAGCACCCACTACCAGCAGTACCAGCCCGTCATCACTCTGCAGAAGGGCTACACCATCCACTGGGACCACACAGCGCCCGCCGAGCTCGCCATCTGGCTCATCAACTTCAACAAGTGAGTGGGGGCCTGGCCCGGGGCTCAGGGCAGTGGTGACGACGACTGCAGAGCCTCGGCTGGCCACGTCCCCCCTGCAGGAGGAGCATCCACAGGGGTTGGCATCACCCAGCAATTAAGAATCAGAAGACCTGGGTGAGCCCCCACTGTGGATGTGGGTGACCTCAGGCAGGTCATCTGACCCCCCGAAGCGTCAATCCCTTCCTAGGAGACAGGGACAGTAACACCTCACAGGGTGCAGTGAGGATCCGGCGAGATCACGTATGACAGGCACTTCGCCCCGGACCCAGCCTCCCAGTGTGCTCAATATATGGCAAAAAAAGTATCTGGCAACAGTGTTACCATTTCACACAGAGGGAATGGGATTGAGTTGAGGGTGTTTGGATAGGGCTTCATGTATGTATTTAGTTCAAGTATTTTTAATACCCAGTATTCCTGTGAGACAGACATTTATCGGATGTGGAAAATGAGACCCAAAGATGTGACGTGGGCCCTATGATCAGGCTGGGTCAGGAAGGGGCTGACCCACGTCCTCCAGACTGAACTGACGTCCAGTTGAAAGAATGTCTTTTTCCAGCCAGAGTTCCATGAGGAGCTCCCCCATGTAGACCCTGGAGATGCCCTGCAATGGTCCTCTTCTCTCCTTGAACACTTTGCGACTCAGCCATTACCAGAGTTGCGAGTGTTCTTCAAAATCCCCATCACAGAAGGGGAGGCGCCCCTGCTGGGGAATCCTTGGGTCTCTCCCAGGGCTGCCCAGAGGCTGGCTGGCTTATAACCTGACTCTGCCTCCATTTCTAGGGGTGACTGGATCCGCGTGGGGCTCTGCTACCCGCGAGGCACCAGCTTTTCCATCCTCTCAGATGTGCACAATCGCCTGCTAAAGCAGACATCCAAGACAGGCACCTTCGTGAGGACCCTGCAGATGGACAAAGTGGAGCAGAGCTTTCCTGGCCGGAACCACTACTACTGGGACGAGGCCTCGGGGTAAGGATCCCCACGCGGCTGTGTCCATTTCCTCCCATGGCCTGTCCAGTAATACTAGGAACCGCCCTGCAGTGGGTGCAGGTTAGTGTAGGGTCCTCCCCTAGGCGCTTTCATTCTGAGGCTGATGGTTCTATCCACCAAGCACATTTTTCAAGTTATTCAGCTTTGCACGTAAGACAAACATCTGTGTTCAAAGCCCTCACCCCTTTGCTGAATGCATGAGGTTTAGTCGATAGAGATATGGGGAGGAGGCAAGGGAGCTATTCAGTCCCCTCCCCTATAAAGAGAGCCTAACATCTTAACGTCGCCAACACATCTCTGCAGCAATGACACTGTGGGCAGCCAGCCCTCTGGGGAGTGAGGGAAGGTGACTTGGTGGCCATTTTCCACCCTTGCACTGAGATGAAGTGTGCGGAAATAGCTGGCGTGTGCTCTCTTTTTTTGTTTGAGATAATGGCTCTATCAATTTGATGACAGGAAAATTAGAATTTGAAAATCAGAAGCATAAGTATAGTGTTGGGGTTGTGGGGCAGTAAAGAACTCCCCCTCTTTCCCCACATAATTTCTAACCCAGTTGTGGGGAGACAAACCAGCAGGTGGAGAGGGGATTGTCAGTCTTACTGCTGCTGGAGCTGTGGGAGGTCAGAGCTTCCCCTGCCGCCCCCACTTGTACCCACCCAGCCCCAGGTGGCATGGAGCCCAACCCCCGTGACTTAGGGTACGGAGGAACTGAACGAGTGTCTGCTCTCTGTGGGTGGACCTATATGACACCCAGGCAAAGGGGGTGCTTCCCTTCCCCCAGGGAAAAGTGAGTGAGGGGGTGGGCCTGGAGTGCATAGAAAAATCCTTCCAGATGGAGAGGAGGAAGATATACCCCTCCTACACCAGTAGGAAGTGTTCTGATTAAAAAACAAATGCCATAGAGTCAAGTCCTCGTGGCACTGTCACATTTTTTCTTCTTTTAAAATCATGTTCAAAAGATGAGAATTTTTCAAATGCAAACTGCCACTACACAAGTTGACCCTTTTTGATCAAAACATTGAACAATCTAAGATTTTCCCTTTTGTTACCTTTAAGCAGATTTTGTTGTATAATTCAACCGTTTCGTTGGTAGCTTAGCTTATCATGATGCCAATTGATGATTATGCTGTGCTTTTAAAATAATTTTAAAATTTTTTCAATTACAGTTGACATACAGTGTTATATTAGTTTCAGGTGTACAACATAGAAATTAGACATTTCTATATTTTATGAAGTGATTACCCCGATAAATCTAGTAACCATCTGTCATCATACAAAGTTATTGCAATATTATTGACTGTATTCCCTGTGCTGTACTTTACATCCCAATGAGTGCTTCATAACTACCAATTTGTGCTTCTCAATCCCTTCCCCTTTCTCACCCAGTCCCCGAACCCTGCTTCCCTCTGGCAACCATCAATTTGTTCCTGAATCTATAAGTCTGTTTCTGTTTTATTTGTTCATTTATTTTTTTAGATTCCACATAAGTGAAATCATATGGTGTCTTTCTCTGATTTATTTCAATTCAAATAATACTCTCTAGGTCCAGCCACGTCACAAATGGCAAGATTTCATTCTTTTTATGGCTAATATTCCATTGTGCATATATGCACCACACCTTCTTCGCCTGTTTAGGTTGCTTCCATATCTTGGGTATTCTAAATAATAATGCCAAGAACATAGGGGTGCATATATGTTTTCGAATTAGTGTTCCGAGTTTCTTCAGATATATTCCCGGAAGTGGAAGCATCGGGTCATAAGGCAGTTCCTTTTCATTTTCTGAGGAAACCCCATACTGTTCTCCATGGTGGCTGCCAGAGGCTGCCTTCCCACCAAAGGTGCACGAGGGGTCCCTTTTCTCCACATCTTTGCCTGCACTTGTTTGTTGATTTATTGATGATAGTCTTTCTGATAGGCGTGAGGTGATATCTCAGTGTTTTTTGAATTTTCATTTCCCTGATGATTAGTGATGTTGAGTATGTTTTCATATGTCTGTTGACTGACTATCTGTATTTCTTCTTTGGAGAAATGTCTATTCTGAACCTCTGCCAATTTTTTAATTGGATCTTTTGGGGGGTTTTGATATTAAGTTGTGTGAGCTCTTTATATATTTTAGGTATTAACCCCTTATTGGATGTGTCATTGGTCAATATCTTCTCCCATTTGGGTGTTTTCATTTGGTTGAGATTCCTTTGCCGTGCAGAAAACTTTTCAGTTTGATGTTCAAATGATATCCCATTTGTTCATTTTCTTCTTTTGTTTCACTTGTACGAGGAGATATATAAAAATATCTATTGCTAAGAGCAATGTCAGAGAGTTTACTGCCTATGTTTTTTCTAGTTTTATGGTTTCAGGTCTTATATTTAAATCTTTAATTCATTCTGATTTTAATTCTTGTATATGGTGTAAGTAGTGGTCTAGTTTCATTCTTCTGCATATAGCTGTCCAGTTTCCCCAACACCATTTATTGAAGAGACTGTCTTTACCCCTCTGTCGTAGATTAATTGACCATATAGGCATGAGTTTATTTCCAGGCTCTGATTAGGCTGTGCTTTAATTCAATGACTCCCAAACACTGGATTATAGGATATTTGTTTCCTGTGCAGAAGCCCAGACTCTGGGGCTTTATGAAAACTTAGGGCTGTTTTTAATCTTTGTGCCATATAAATTTGTAGTTATTTTTACTCAGGTTCAGAGCACCTGCCCTCAGTGGCTGTCTTCTCTTCAATCGGCTAGGACACTTGATAACCAAATCACTATAATTGAGGGTAAAATAAAAATAAATAGGCTGAAAGTGAGGGGGTTCAAATAGTCAGTTTTTCAAGGTTACAAAACACTAGAGTGGTTTTAGCTGTGTTCTGGACAGTGGGGCTTGCCACATGCCACCCAAGCGAGGTGTTGCTGACTTACAAATAAGTGTCCTGTTCAGGGGCACGGCTGTCAGCAGCACGGCCCTGAGGTCACTCTGACAGCCACAGCCAACGCCCCCTCTGCTCCCCATGTGCAGGCTGCTGTTCTTGAAGCTGACGGCCCAGAACGAGAGGGAGAGGTTTGCCTTCTGCTCTGTGAAGGGCTGTGAGAGAATAAAGATTAAAGCCCTGATCCCCAAGAATGCAGGCATCAGCGACTGCACGGCCACTGCCTACCCCAGGTTTGCGGAGAGGGCCACAGTGGACGTGCCGATGCCCCGGAAGCTGGTTGGTGCTCAGCTGGTGAGTGACAGAGACGAGCCTGCCCTTTGACTTCAGCAGGGCCTAGACCCAACCAGGGTCTTCTCGGGACACCTGCTCAGCCCCCCAACACGCTTCCTGTGCCTGGGGGGCCGGGGAGCCGAGGGACACGACCAGTCACCGGGCTGTACACTTGCCTTCTTAATGCTAACAACCACACGGGGTTTGTTTGTTTTCCAGAAAACAAAGGACCACTTCTTGGAGGTGAAGATGGAAAGTTTTAAGCAGCGTTTCTTCCACCTTCTGAACGACCTTGCTTACATTGAAGTAAGGGACTGGTCCCTGCGGAAAGCTGGGTGCTCACCAAGTGGTGGTGGCTTCCTCGGGTTGCTGTCACAAGCTGGGCGGCTTAAAACAACAGAAATGTATCCTCTCTCAGTTCTGGGGGCCAGAAGTCCAAAGTCAGGGTGTTGGCGGGGTGGTTCCTTCTGGAGGCTGAGGAAGAGGCTGTTCAGGCCTGTTCTGGCCTCTGGTGGCTGCTGGCAATCCTTGACACCCCTTGACTTGTAGACCCGTCCGTCCAGTCTCTGCCTGTCTTCCCACGGTCCTCTCCCCTGTGTGCCCGTCTTACATGTCCCCCGGCCCCTCCTATAAGGACTCCAGTCGTGGGATTTAAGGCTCATCCTAAATCTATGATGAGTTAATCTTGGGATCCTTAGTTAGATCTGCAAAGACCCTATTCCAAATAAGGCCCTTTCACAGGTACCAGGTAGACGTGTCTTTGAGGGGGGGCGCTATTCAGCTCACAACAGAAGGCTACAGGGAACTGATTTAACTGGGTTTTATGCTTTGAGCAGCTGTATAGACAACCTCTGTGTCCAGGGTCTGCTTGGGAACCCCCAGCAGGAGACCTTCGGGGCCTCGCTGCCTTCAGGACCCTGCCTTACCTGTCTTGACTTTGGTATGCAGGTGGATGGCAAGAGGTACCCCAGTCTGGAAGATGGCATCCAGGTGGTGGTGATTGATGGCAGCCAAGGGCGCGTGCTGAGCCACACAAGCTTCAGGAACGCTATTCTGCAGGGCATACCGTGGCAGCTTTCCAATCATGTGGCAGCCATCCCTGACAGGTGAGTCTGGGCCGCCTCCCTGTCCCTGAGGCCTTCATCACAGCGCTGCCTGGGAGAGCTTAGGGAGTCTCCATGGTCGGCCCAGGGGTTGTGGTGCTGGGCTCGGAACCTGCTGCTGGAGCCAGAGCCTTGTGAATGTAGGTCAGGCCGAGGCAGGCGGCTGCCCAGTTACTAGTGGGAAGCCTGCCCCTGGCCCCCGTCCCCCATCACGACAGTCTCCCGGCATGAGCTCATTCCCTCCCACACGGTGAATACTCTCCAAATGCCAGTGGCTTCTGAATATCTCCAGCCCAGATCTCTCCTAAACACCAGACATTCCCCCAGTGGTGACGTCGAGACACCACCTAGAGGTCTCCAGTGGAACTGAATTCTCAGCCTTTTTTTAAAGCACCGCCCCCCAGACCAGCCGGTCTTCCTGGTAGCCCCGTCTCGACGTCCTCACTGCTGGAGGGACAGCCGAGCGAGGCAGCGTCACATCAGACTCTCCTTTTGCCACACTCCTGTGTTCTGCTCAGCGCACTGCAGTTCCCTGTGTCCTCCACCCCGACCTCCCTGCCCCACCCTTACCGTCCCTCCAGGGGCCACCACCGCCCCAGGGTCCCAGGGAAGAAGTGGCAGCTGCTCACAGCTGAATCGTCAAAGGTGGCTTCTCGGAGCTGCTCTGTCACCCTGAGGGCAATTCCGTGCTGGCAGGTGCGGGGCGTAGAGAAGCCCATACCAGGCAGGGAGGGTGCCCACAGTGCGCCCGCCGTCAGGGGCTGTGACACATGAGAAGCCCCGTCCTGGTGTTCTGCTGCCATGAGTTACCCCAGATCCCTGTCCGTAGGGCATGACCTTCCTGTGAGTCCTCCCCAGTGGGAAGGCTTAGCCCAGCCAAAGAGACTTTAGCTTTTCCTCTGAATTAGAGTGATGAGGACACAGCCTTCTGAGGACAGAGCCCGAATCCGAAGTTGAGGGTGTGTTTGCAGTGTTCCCATTCAACGTAACAGCCACTGGTTCCCGGGCTTTCCTCCCTGGCCTTCCTACAGCCCCAGCAGCCTCCCCATCCACTCTGACTGCGCACAGCCCTTTGTGTGTTCAGAACTTTCCTTCTGCTCCCAATGGGACGTGGGGGAAGGGCTAACAACAGGTTCCAGGATCTCATACAGATTTTCCAGTCTGGCCTGTGGTCTGTGGTTAATGGGGTTCATTTGAGATGGGAACTGGATGCCCCTCTGGGCTCCTGCCCCGTTTCTATTCCTGGGGGAAGTATTCACTTCCTCCTGTCTGGATGGAGGTGTTTTCATAGCACTTGGGTCTGAACACAGCCAACGCAGGCGAGTAGCGACTCCCTGCTCCCATGTGGGCTTCTGCAAGTTGGGACCTTCAGGCTGGGCACACCCACTATTCCAGGCCTCTGCCCCCACCCAAGCATGGCTCCCTGCTGGCAGGTCCTCTCAGATACTTAATAACTATTTGCCTCGTTTTTCCCATTTGCAAAACAGAGCAGTAATGGTTTCTTACCTGAACAGAAAGAGAAGTGACCTGCACGTGACAGGTTAATGCGACCTGAGCATGTGGTCCTCGAGGCTCTCTCCGTCCCCATATTTCTACCAGTCCTGTCCAAACAGTGGAGAACATTCCAGTTAGGAAATGATGCGGCCTGGCGCAGTGCTGCCCCTCGTGGTGCACTCTTGCACCTGCTTTGTCCTCTGGGGACGTATGTAAAAGCAGTGAGCAGAGTGCAGCCTTAGAGTCATGGGTGCCAACTGCAGCCAGATGTGTGGGAGGGGTATTTGGGACATGGGTCACCACATGGAAAGAGACGGCACAGCACGCAGGAGGGGCTGTCCTTTCCCAAATCTCTGGCAGAGCCTCTGGGCACTGCTAACTCAGTCCCACCACAGACAGCCCACCACCCCTCCCAGGGAGCCCCTTGCTCCACTCTGCTCTCTTGTCCTCTAATCGGCCCCTTCTCTCTTGCTCAGTTCCATAGTTCTCATGGCATCAAAGGGAAGATATATTTCCAGAGGCCCGTGGACACGAGTGCTGGAAAAGCTCGGGGCAGACAAGGGGCTCAAGTTGAAAGGTGAGGGGTTTGGACGGGGGTTTACATGAGTCCAGGTGCCTGGTATGCAGGCAGCTGCTGCCCCTCCCTGAAACCAAGCACCCTTCCCACCAAACCTAGGCATGGCCTCTGACTCCTCGGCACAGCTAGTGGTCCCCGGGGTGCAGGGTGAGGCGCCACCTCCACTTTCCTTTATGTGTGACCACTGAGGGAAGTTGCTAGCATTGTTCACCCATCTACTCAGCAAGTGGCCCTTTTTCCCAACAAAAATATCAGCGGAAAGTGGCTTGATCTGACCTCTCCCACTTCTGGCTACTCAGGGTGGCTGGGACCCCCTGCTTCCTCAGCACCCTGCCTATGCCCAACATTTGTACTGCCTGCTGCTGGTTGCAAAGCTCTTATTTGTTCCTCAGAGGAATGTAGGGGGAGCCCGGAGATCTCCGTGGCCTGTCCAAGGTCACCCCGCTCTGCTGTGGTGAAGCCTGTCACAGATCCACAGAGAAGGAACTGGCCGGGACAGACATCAGTGTGACAGCAGCAGCAGGCTGTGCTCAGAGGGCCCCTAGGGGGCAGAGAAACTGCGCAGAGTAACGAGCATGTCCACTGTAGTTACCTTGCTGTGTGCAGCCTGGCACCTTGCTGAACAATTTCACAATTATCTCACATAGTCCTTAATAACCTATGGAACAGGTATTGTTACTTCCATAGAAGGCAAGGAGACTGAGAATTAGACAGTTAAGTAACTTGGATTCTAGTCATTGAGACCATGTCCCTCACATAGCCGACAGCCCAGAGCGCTTCCCAGAGGACAGTGCAGTGCGGCTGGGGAGGGGGTGCCTGGCAGAGCCTCGGGAGGTGGTGGCGTGGAGCCGTTCTCTCTTGGGGTTTCTGCTCATATGATTCATCGCTACTTTTCAGAGAAAATGGTATTCGTTGGCTTCAAAGGCAGTTTTCGGCCCACCTGGGTGACTCTGAACACTGAGGACCACAAGGCCAAAATCTTCCAAGTTGTGCCCATCCCTGTGGTGAGGAAGAAGAGGCTGTGAGGAAGGCTGTTACTGGGGCCGCCCATGTGGACTATGACGGTGGACTCTTGGCAGCAGACCAGGGTAGGGTGGCTGGTTCCCCCAGCCCGTCCAGCCCCTGCCTGGGGAGGCCGTGTGTTCAGACTGGCCGAAGGAATGACACTGAGACTCTGGTGCCTCTACCTGCTCCCACTCCAGTGTCTACCAGCAGCCCCGGGGCGGCATTGGCCGATGCTAGAGACCTTGTCTTTCCTGCAGCCTCTTGGGTGCTTCTCTCCCATCTGTGCCTCTTCAGTGGGCGGTATAGGGACCACGCGAGGAGACCTGGGCTGTGCTGGCAGCAGGGTCCACTCTGGCAGGAATGTAGACTGGGCGCTGGGTCCCTCACAGACCCTCATGCTCCCCAGCACACACATTAGGTGGTAGATTTAGGAAAAGGAGCCCTGGTCTTATGGAAATATTTATCCTGTAAGCAAGAACCAGCCTTCATGGGATTGGGGGGGTGACATACACAGAACTTCTGGAGGAGGAACTGGCTACCCTTGGGGAAGGGGTAAGGCTTGCAATCTGGGGAATGGACAACCTGTCAGGTGACTCCAGGTCCCAGGCTGAGATTGGACTATGTGACTTTTAAAGGCCCTTTCAGTTCAGAGATTCTAGAAGTCTGTGGCTTTTCATATTGTGCCTGGATCCCAGGAGTAGAAGAGAACACCCATGATGCTGAGTGTCTGGGGCCTACAGGATGGCGGGAGGATGCCTAAGTGAGGGGCTTGCAGTCCAGTAGGACAGGCAGTCAGGTACATGCGCCCTCAGATGCCAGGATGAGAAACCAGAGTGAAAAATGGGGACCACTGCCAGTTCAGAGGAGGAAAAGATCTTCCCTGTTCAGTAAGGAAGACTTCCTGTAGGAGGCAGCAATGGGGTTTGCAGGAATGATGGGCAGCCTCTACTTTGTTCAAACTACCTGTCAGCCCACGCTCGGGCGCACGCAGCTGCGGTAATCCCATTGGTGCTACCTGTTCGCAGGTCTGCAGGTGCAGCCCAGCGGTGTCGGGCCCGCTGAAACATTCTCTGCAAACCACCTTGCTGCTCTCGGGGGTCTGAAGAGCTGCTGGGGCCACCCCAGACCCTACAGCTACTGCTTAGAGTCCTCTCCCCCTCACACACCCAGGAGAAAGCCAAGAATGCTCCTCGGAGAGGGAAAACTACCTGTGGTTATACTCGTGATGCACCAGGTCACTCTGGTCTCATGATGAACTGTGTCTGCCCGTCCTTCCCCAGCCACAAGCTTTTCCCTCAAAGAGGGCTTTCTTCGCTCCCTCGGCCCAGCTGCACCCATGAGACTCCGTCAGCGAGTCCATTCCCCAGGTTGAGCCAACTGCCAGAGAGGTTTTCCCACCAAACAGGTCTTTCGCTGCTAGGAGGCGACAGGATTTGGCCTCTTAAGACATGGCAGCTTCAAAGGCCCTCATCCCAGTAGGAGCCTCTTCCAGGCAGAGCAGAGGAGATGGGGAGGCGAGTTAAGTGACCTCATGTTCTTGTCTATACTTCTGTCCAGTTTTTCAGATACTCTTCATGCAAGGGTCTCACACTGTGAACCACTTGGGATGCGTGCACTTCAGGTGGCCTGGAATGTTGACTGGGTTCAGTTCAGAATCTATTTGAGGATCCTCAGAGCTGTACATATGTCCCTTTCCTCAACTGTTCGCCAGGAGCCCATGTCCAGGCGTGTTCTTAGGAGCAGCACTTTTCTTATTGCTTAGAAAACTGGCCTTGTGCTTTCTGTGCGTGAGCGTCAAGATGAGTTAGGCTTTTAAGGAAAACATGCCTCTGAAATGCTTGTCTTTTTCCTGTTGCCGAAATAGCTGGTCCTTTTTCGGGAATTAGCTGTATAGTGTGTTTTGTATGTAAACATTTCTTGTAGGTGTCACCATGAACAAAGATATATTTTCTATTTATTTATTATATATGCACTTGGAGAAGTCCTTGTCAGAGAAATGAAGAATTGTCTTAAATGTCATGTTTGGGGAGTCCTTTGGCCAGCTCGAAAGTGTCCCAGAGCCTTCACTTGCCTCAGAGCACAGCTCTGCGGTGGAAAACCTCGCTGTACCATAGTAAACACGCAAAGGAGACCGCCCTCTGTCTGCTTGTTTTCCTTTCCTTTAAACTGGGTCTCATGCCTAAGAACAAGGTTGACAGGTTGATGAAACGCCCTGTGGCTTTGCCTCTCTCACTCCCAAGAACTATTCCAGCGACTTTCAACCGTCTCCACCTCAAGGCACACATAAACTAATTAGTAAAACTGTACAGCACACCCAAAATTATATTTTTTGCCAATCTGACCAAAAAAAGGGTATAATTTTGCTTTATTCATGCCAGGTGGCTAATGTTGTGTTGCCCGAGTTCAGGTTCTGGCTCTGTCACTTCCTAGCAGTGTGACCTTGAAGAAGATGCTTACCTTCCTTGGGCCTCAGCGTCCTTGTGTGGAAGATGGGGTGATAATATAGTGCCTCCTGCCTCGGGTTGCTATGACAACGAAGTAAATTAATACAGAGATCAGAGAAAGAGGTGTCTGCATATTTCCACAGACATCTGGCAAGCACAGCTCGAGTGATGTGTTAATTCAAACCATGGCTGAAGAATTCTCCCCAAAGGCTGGGTGGCAAGACCCAATGCACGGCCAGTCTCTGGTGCCCCCTAGTGGACACATTCCTCCATTCTTAAATGACTTCTAGATGGGGAGGCAATGATTATTATTTTAGAGGGTTTACACTACACCACCAGGACCTGGCTGTCGCCCCGTATCTCCTCATGGCCTGTATTGGCTCCATTCTGACAGCTCCTCTGGATGGGCCAATGTGGCCCCACCTCACACCCTCCGGGTTCCAATGGTATGAAGAACAAAAGCCACCTCTTCCTGAGGTGGCTCAAGAAACTTAGCTGGGGTTAGCTCTTCATCCCTGCAGTGGGGTGGCCTGGAGGCTGGGAAGGCGGTAGGGGAAATATCCCACCCAGAGCACAGAACTGAGAATGGAGTGACCAAAACCAGGGGAAATAGATGCTGCAAGGCTAACGCACACATTGCTACAAACTGATAAATACACATTTTTGGAAACATTAACAGCAGCTTCTGCTAGGACAAGAGTGGCAGCACTGGCTCCGCAGGCTTTCCACTTGGTACCCTTTTTGAACAAAAGCATTTTCTAACCATGTACGTGTGTTATTTGGTTAAAATCACAATAGGAGGTTTTTACAAACAATTTTAGTTCTTAAAAATGACACCTGTATATAAATTCCATAACTGTCAACCAGAGGAGGCTTCAACATGAACAGTGAAATCAGACATTAGCAGATAGGGCCTCATGTGAGTACCATATAGAAACACCACAAATTTAGGCACTTTATCAAAGAAACATGTACAAATGAAGGAGGTTATTGAGCCTTCTGCCACACTGCAAAGGACTGCTGATCCTGATTTACACCTTTTAAAACTGTCACATTACATGGAACACATGAACTTCAACACCAGCATTACTGTTTCCTAATTAAGGACACACAACAGGATCCCCGAGCTCCACAGACCACCTAACACCTGACAGATACCAAGAGTTCTCTTTAACTGCTAAGGATTCAAGTCCAAGAAATTCAAAGGAAATACTCAGGATCTCCAAGCAACATTATTTTCTGTTCTCTGCAGTTTTTGCAGAAGTGGGATTCGCACATCCTGGCGTGCTGGTTGTATACTTAAACACCATGCTCCGTGCAGTGCTCTCATGGGGCATTTTTATTTCACAGTAATGAAAATGATGGTTTTTTTGTGGCGTGAAGACCCTGATTCAATTACATCAAGCCTTAATGTGTGTCTGATTAGAACCTGGTATCCTTCGTTAACAAAAATAAAAAGCACAGACACCGCAGGACGTGAGACCAGAGCAGGTGCACTGAGGGGGCAGTGACACAGCGGTCAGGGACTCCCCCATATTTAAATGGGAAAAATCAACAGTCAGGTTTCCATCTAAAGTGATTTCATAGTAAACCTGAATTTGGCAGTGTCCAATGTCCGATGTTAATACAAAACCTATCTTCTACCTGAAACCTTTTCAACAATAATTCCTACTCTGACCACACACTGGCCGTGTGGCAGACCCTCTCTAGAAGAAACTAGAATTCCATCCTGTGTGCGGTTTCCCACGCCCGCCCCGCCCCCACGAGCCCTGGCTGAGCTCTGTCCCGTGTGCTCCAGGCAGCAGTGACTGCCCCGTTACAGGTCTTCTCGTTTATTCCCAGCTCGATTGCCTTCCTTCGGCGCCCGAGATTTAGGGGCTCCCTCCTTCTTCTTGCCCTTCTCTTGCTTTGTTTTGTTTTTTTCTTTGCCTCCGCCTCCTTTGCCAGGGTACACCTGTCCTTCCAGAGTGACATCAGCACACCTGTCTTGACTGACCAAAAAGTCCTTGATCTCCCAGGCGTAGCTCCCATCACGCAGCATGAAGATGGTGCGGTCTGAGCCCACGATGAACCTTGACAGGGAGATGTGATCACAGTCAGCTCATGCCAGTAAAGGGCCAACGGGTCAGAGTTTCTGTGGCACTTAACCAGGAAAAACAAGTCCTCTCAAATTTTACATGAATACAGAGAAAAGTGGACTTGTCAAGGTCCAATAGCTTCTGAAATTTCGTGTCTGAAAATCCTACCTGACTGAACTAGTTAACCCTTCAGAACGAAGCAGAACGTGGATTCTGTGTGGGTAAGTAGATGCCCAGCAAGGGGCAGAGCGGGGAAGAGCGCCTGAGGCTGCTGCCAACGGGGCTCAGGGGCTGCTGAGGGGGGAGGCAAGGAGCAGGCTGCCGTCTGAATCTGTTTTACATTCTCATGTGCCCAGTTAAGGTTTCTTTTGACAAAAAGCTTCTGCTGAGAAAGGCTGAAAACCACTGGTTTCAACTGGGTCACAGTAAGAGGTCCATGAATGGCATGAGAGGATACCCAGCCACTGGACAGAAATCCTAACCTCGGAGGTTAGCAGCAAGCAGCCCAGGAACATGCACACTCAGCAGATCCCAAAGAGCAAAGAGGAAAAGAGCAAAGAGGACCACTAATGTTGCCAGGGGACACAGTTCTGTTCCTGAGCGGCTCTGCCCTGATCAGGGGTAGCTCACTTGTTCCTCTAAGCGTCTATTAAGAGTTGAGAATATCGATTCTCAGTATTCCTTCATTTCTTTTTATTATTTTTATACTTCCTTTAGGACATGTGAAGACCCAAAATTTTAGAACTGTTATTGAGAAGGAAAAAAGAACTTCCTTAAAACTGCATCTTAGAATCATACTGAGCTGTGAACACTGGACCCCTTCACCTTACATTAGTTATCTGTTAACAGTCTGGTCCAAGCTTTTGTGTGGACACAGCCACACAGAAAAGCATTCTCCATACGCAGAAACTTCTAAAGGAAGCACGCTGTCAAACTGTAACTAATCTGGCCCCAAAGAGGCTAAGCTAGACAACTTTTTACTCAGATAAAATAAAAGTTAAAGATATAAAGATAAATAAAACTTTATGATGAAATTAGTTACTAAAAAAAAACACAACTTACTGGCTGACCAATAATGAATATTCTAAAAAGAATATCCTGCTAGATATAGAGCCTCAGAAAAAGTCCCAGCACAGCCTATGCTTTCCTCAGCAAGGTGGTAGGAGCTTTACCTCTGGACATCATAGTTGGCGTTGAAAAGGCTGCCCTGCCAGAGGCTGGTGATTTCTTCCGTCTCTTTCTCCGTGGGGCTTCCTGATACGGTGACAAACATCATCAGAGTCTTCCCTTTCTTCGTCATTTTCAATATGCTCTCCGGCTTGCCTGGGTCTAGCTGCGAGAAGTCGACAGGTGCTGAGGGCCTTTTGTGTTCCGGGAGGTCTCCTTCTTCTATGTCATCATCTTTCTATGAGGAGCAGGGGAAAGCATCAATCATCAGAAATGTGTTTTGCAACTGGCAGAGGCAAGAACATCTGCACAAGACATCAGGTGCAGGTCTCTGACCTACATAACACAGGAAAAAAGAAAACCCAGCAGTTCTCCTCTACTTGCCTTTCAAGCATGTCTAAGTCACTCCAGGCTGCCAATCGCAGAGAGCCCCCATGTGATGGGTTTCTACAGCTTTTTCACCCCCAAACTACCCAATGTGATCGACTGTAAAAATGGCCACATTCTGGTGTGGTGATATAATGAAATACTGCACACAAGGAAAAACAACAAATACCGACGCACATGTAACAAATCTCAAAAAACGTCATACTGAGTCACAGAAGGAACAGCAGGGAAGGAGTAGGAGGTGGATTTAGGGATCGCTGCCAAGGGAGAAAGTACTGTTTCCTACATAAAAGTGCCCATGGAGATGGATATGCTCTCCCACAGGAAAAAAAAATCAGATACTGGGGAAGGGCGCTCCCATTTGTAGTGTCTGCAAACATCAGCTCATGCAGTCTGCATGCAGCCTACACAGTGAGATGTTTATCTGGCTCTATGGACCAGGAAAATGAGGATCAGTTTCCAGGGGTAAAGCTGGGGTCAAAACCTCTGTCCTTTCACTACCTTATGCTGTCACCTTGTGGGCACACAATTAACCAACTACCGAGACAATTAACCAACTACCGAGTCCTGTTGTGGCATAGTATCTCACATTTCTCCCTTCCACTCCATTCCTGCAGCCTCTAGCTTAATCCAGGGCTTCCTCATTACCTTTCACTTGCACAGCTGTTCATCAATGTGTATGGCTAATGGTTAAAAGAACAGGCTTTAAAGTAACTGAATTGGAAAGTCAACTAACTTGCTGTACTACCTTGGGCAAGTTACTTTACCTCTCTGTGTCTCAACATCATCATCTAGGAAACAGGGATAAGTACATCCCTCAGCACCGGAGTAAGAGGATTAAATGACATGCTGTGCTTACAGTTCTGATAGCTAATGAACACTCAATAAATATTAACTATTAAACTGTCTCTGCCTTCTGATTCTCTCCCTGCCCACCCATCCTAAACTTTACCAACCAATTAATTTTCCCCAAGTTTAGCTCTGACCAAGATATTCCACTATTCAAAAATCTTCAACAGCTGAAACATCCACTCTGAGACATATTCTGAAGCCTTTTAAAAGTATTATGGAAAAAATAGACAGAAAATACACTGATGCTGTGCTTTCTGCTGTAAAAATTATGTCTGCATATAGAAGGGGACTTCAAAGAGAAAACATGTTTTGTGATGAAATTATGAACAAACATTCCAGTACTGTAATATTTGGGTAATACAACTTTTCTAATGCATCAGGGACTGCATATGTCCTTCTAAAGTCCAAACCCCACAGCATTCAAGGCCTAGCAACACCTGGTTCCCGCCGTCTTTACTTCTCACTGCTTTGCGTCAGACAGTCTATTCCAGCCAACCAAACTAATTTATATTGGGTGACAGATCTTTATATTACCATAACTAGTGATTAGAGTTGCAGTAGTCTTGGTTCTTTCCATGTTTTCTCAGTTGATCCTCAAAACTACCTAGGTGGATACTATTAACACCTCTATTTTGCAGAAGAGAAAACTAAAGTACAGAGAGGTTCTTTACCAGTTCAAACTCAGAAGTTAAGTGGTTTGAACCCAGGTGGTCTAACTGCAGGAACCTAGGCTATTGATATTTGCCCCATTCTGTCCAGTTCCCATGTCCCATCCTCTGCTCATGCTGCCCAGTTAGGAATGACCTCCCACACTTCCCTTGCCTATCTAAAATGCTGTTTCCTCCCTGAAACCCTTTGAGATTCCCCCAGCAAGTTTCTTTCCTTTTATAGCACTCAGCAATTCCTACTTTGAATTATGGCTATTTTTACTGTTATCTACTGTTACCAGTGGTTGGATCCCCTGTTCATCTCTGCAGCCCCCTTTTTGTCTAGCTCAGGCTCTGAGTATTTCTGGGTTAGGATTTTCTCATGAGACGGTGTTCTCACACTGGCAGATCAGAAAGAGACTGGAAGATTGCAAGGGAGATGGTAAATGGGGAAGGAAGTGCTACATGAAGTTCTCTCTTCATTAGCAAGGTCTCCACACCCTCCATTCTACCCCAATCTTTCTATCAGCTGCAGATGAACATGAAAACGCAGTTGGCTTTCTGCTAGTCCAGTGCATCAGATGGCATTTTAAACTCATGTCTGAAAGCCTCTATCAAACACACACACACACAGAGCTAACCCCAAAATAATGAGACATAAGTGTTGGAAGGAATCAGCCAGTAAGATCTCATCTTGGCGATGAGGAACGTGAGGCCTAGAGAGGAGACCTGACTTGCCCAAGGTTACACAATGAGCAGAACCCTAGATTCTGACTTTAAATGAACCAGGACAATACGACCACCTTTGGAAGGGAAAAAAGCAGCAGAGTGTTTTTTGGCTAGTGAAGTTTATCTAAAAAGTTTATTACAAACTCCCTGCAATTACACACTCCGGTGCACTCACAAAGCTTAAGTCTCACAAAAAGAAGTCATTGCTGCTTTCAATGAAAAAAATGTTAGTGCCACGGGAGAGAGTAACTAACCTTTGATTACCGCGCCGGCCATCCCCGCAAATTACAACTCTCAGCAGGGAAATGTACACAAATGGGAAGTCTGAAATCCTACTGATTTGGAAGACGGGCGAACTACTAAACCTGAGCTGACCCTCTAGAAAAGCAACCCTGACCATAGCCCTCACCACCCGGTCACCCCATTCTTCAGGAATACAGTGGAAATGGGTTAATCTCCCTGCCATCTGCAGAGATCACTGACCCCGGGGAGCAAACGCAGGGGCAACCAGGGCACTGAAGGTAAATTAAGGCTCCACGCGCGAGGCTGACCCGTGGCTGGAGCAGAAACGGGGGACCCGAGGGCACTGGGATGGAGGCCTGGGTCCGGGGCGACAGAGCGAGGGGATCCCGGGGTGTCACCGAGAGTCAGCGGTGGCTCGAGCGGATCGGTAAGGATTCGTGGCACGAGCAGAGAGGAGGTTAGGGGGTCGGAAGGCAGCGGCACGGAGGGGGTGGGAGGTCAAGGGGAGCAGGGTCCGAGAAAGAGCAAGCCCGAGGGTGTTCGCGCGCCGCGGACCTCCCACTGTTCGAGAAGACGCGCCATGTCCGCATCATTGTAATCGCGAATGTCCTTCTTCTTCTTCGGGGGAGGCGGGGCAGCCTCGCCGGGCTTACCAGCCGGGCCCTCGGCCGCGCAGGCCCGGGGCGGCAGCGGCAGCAGCAGATCACAGGCACAGAGCAGGACCACGGCCACCCGGGCCCAGCTGGACGCCGCCATCTTCGCAGCGCCGCTGCGAGATCACGCCTGCGCAAGCCGCTGGCCCCGCCTCCGAC